ACTGGGTTTGGTACCTGAAGAATAACTACCACTGCCACAAAAACTCAAGAAAAATCAAAACCTTCTAGTAAAGTTACAATGCCAACAATGAAGAGAAAAAAAAAGTTTATCTACAACCCAAGAAACCAACAAATACAGAAGACAAACAGTAAATCAGGAAGAAAGGAACGAAAGACACTTATGACATGCAAACAAAAATCAATAAAATGCTAGGAGTAAATCAACACATTTCAATAACAACTTTTAATGTAAAAGGATTAAATTCCCCAATCAAAAGAGACTGACTGACTGGATTAAAAAGGAGGACCCAACTATATGCTGCCTTCAAGAGACCCATCACACTATAAAGACTCACATAGACTAAGAGTGAAAGGATGGAAAAAGATTTACGATGCAAACGGAAATCAAAAACAAGCTGGAGTAGCTATTCTTATATCTGATAAAATAGACTTTAAACTTAAAACCATAAAAAGAGATAATGAGGGCCACTATATAATGATAAAAGGATTGATCCATCAGGAAGACATATCATAAATATATATGCACCAATGTTAAAGCAACCAGATTTATAAAGCAAACTCTATTAGACCTAAAGAAGGAAATAGAAACTAATACCATAATAGCAGGGGACCTGAACACCCCATAGTCAATATTGGACAGATCATCTAGGCAAAGAATCACCAGAGAAACACAAGATCTAAACAACATTCTAGGCCAATTGGACTTGGCAGATATTTACAGAATATTCCATCCAACAACCTAGGCATATTCATTTTTCTCATCAGCACATGGATCACATGTTAGGTCACAAATCAAGTCTCAACAAATTTTAAAAAATTGGAATAATCCCATGTATTTTTTCAGACCATAATGGATTAAAATTAAAAATCAATAACGAATGAAATTCTGGAAACTATACAACACATGGAAATTAAACAGCATTCTACTTAATGACAAATGGGTCCAAGAGAAAAATCAAACAGGAAATAAAAAAATTTATTGAAACTAATGAAAACAATGATACATCATACCAAAACCTGTGGGATACTGCAAAAGCGGTACTACAGGGGAAATTTATCACATTGAATGCT